CAATGTATGGTGTTACATTATAGTCCACGAAAAAGCAAGCAGATAATAGATTTACTAAATGCAGTGTAAACTCAGCTAAAACCGACAAATGGAACTTTTATAGTTTAACAGGAAAAAAAAAATCATAAATATTGGAAATGCAACAGTCCTTTCCAATATAAATTGGAATATCTCCAAGGATATAGCGGTGGATAGGAGCGCTTGGAGGCTCGCTATCAACGTGCCAGAGCCGTGACTTTTGCTCCTTTCTCTCTCTCTCTCTCTCTTTTTTTTTTTTTTCAATCTCTTCCTTTCGGTTCGAGTCTTTTTGTGTTTCTCTTGGGTTTCATCTCTAGCCTACCCCGACTTGCTTGGGACTAAAGGCTATGTTGTTGTTGTTGTTATTGGAAATGCAACAGTCGTTAATCTTTATGCTTATCCGTTTTAAGTTTAAGCCCTCAGTACAATATGCAAAAATCATCTGAAACTCGTTAGTTTAGTTATACAGAAATAGTAACACATGAAAAAACTGTACCTTGAATCCCGTTCGAATAGCCCCACATTCCAACTTCCCACATACAGATACTTGACCTTGTGATTGTGACTTTAACAAATCACATATAGGCATCAGTAGAGGCTTGGAAAAATCCCTTTCAGGAAGTTGCAGAGAATCTATTGCATCCAAAAGATAAGGTCCATTAAACCTGCAACCGCAACAATTTACAAGTGCTAAGAAACTTCAAAGCAAAAGCAAATCATCGAAAATCGAAACAAACATTACTCTTTATAGACATTGGCCGCCGCATAATCAACTAATTTTCGAAGACGATATGCATAACATAAAACCACATATTCCATAGATAACTAATAAAATAACCAACCAAAAAAGTAAAAGAACGCTTGTCCCAGAAAATACAGATAAGGGAATCATATAAAACTTTGAAGCTCTGTAGATGATGATATCGACCGCTGCCAAGCTATTATGCATATCACCAGGTCACAAGGAAGTGGATAAGGAGACAAGTTCTATGCAGATTAAGCTATTTCATCAGTCCAAATGCATGGGAATTGAGGAATAAAGGAATACAATTAATCGGTGCAACACTGAGATCTAGCGAAAAAATATGGAAGACATTATTTCGTATTGTGTATTATAGGCGATAAGAAATTAAAGAGCATGCGTAACAGACATATACCAAGTGCAGAATTAACTAGGCATTGTTCACAGTTGAACAGAGTACTATAAAATAAAATAAAAAAAGAAATTAATAAAGGAAAACAAACCAGGAGAGCCGGACATCAGACGGTTTTGCTACCAAGTTTTGGTTCTCCATGGCACTTACAGGAATCCATGATATCGAAGAACTTTTAAAACCACAAGATCGGAGAAATGTTCCTAACTTCTGCTTGACGTCATCAAATCTTTGCTGAGAGTATTCCACCATATCCATTTTGTTTACAACAACAATAATCTGGTCAACTCCGAAGCTCCTAACCAGCTGTGCATGTTCCTTCGTTTGCCCTCCAACAGCATCTATGCCTACTTCGAATGAACCCATTGAAGCGTCAATAACTATAATTGCAGCATCTGCTTGTGATGCTCCAGAAATCATGTTAGGAACAAAATCCCTGTGTCCAGGTGAATCGAGCAGCACAACTCGAAATTTTCTAGAAGTGAAAAAAGCAACACCCACATTCATAGTGACACCCCTTTCCCTTTCCTCAATACTTTCATCCAATGCCCACGCATAAGAAAATGATCCTTTTCCCTAACCAAACAAGAAAAAATATATTTCCAGCAATCCTTAAGAAGAATGGAAAATTGTAAGAAAATGGTATTGCTATTACTTGTTGTTTAGCTTCTTTTTCATACTTGTGCATCTCTTTCCGAGATATATGTCCCAAAAGATGCAATAACCTTCCTGAAAGTGTTGATTTCCCTGAATCAACATGGCCAACCTAAGCACAAAGAAAATCATAAACCATGGGTGCAAAAAAGCATCACTTTAATTGATAGTCTTGATACAGCATCAAAAACCTACAATTGCAACATTTAGTTGACTCAATTCAACATCTACTTTGCTTGGAATCATCCATGCCTCAGGAATATACTCAGAGACTGGTGCCGCTTTACCATCATGGGTAATTTCTTCTTCAGTGGTCTTGAAAGATGAAGACTCTGAATTCAAAGTATTACCAAAGACTTCTGGTTTCTTTTCACTGCATGAAGCGGAATCATTTTCAGTAACTCCAACGTATCTCTCTCTTATCGCTGATGCTGGAGAAGGCTCTGAACCCAACTCTGGTTCAATTACAATATTAATCGTTTTATCCCTAGTAGCATCACCTGCGAGAATGAATTCTTAGACTTTGCACAACCACGTGAGAAAGGGAGCACAAGAAAATGGAAACTTATCAGTAAATTTAAATCAAGACCTATAGATTGTTTTAACAAATGGAATAGGGAGCTAGTATCAAGTGTCAAATATCAACAGGCCCAAAATGTGAATTTTTCTATTCCAAAATTCATTAATCAAGGTCTAGTGGTAGCACTATCTGCAAGATAATGGCACATACAACATTTTAAAGATAAATGCCATTCTGCAAAACGTAGAATGATTACTCTCCATTTCAGATACACATACCCAGTTTAAAAATCAAAGGCAAACGCAACACCACAATCATGAAAACAATCTTCTCTATACAAACAGTACTAGGAAAAATTCCATCAAGTCTGGGAAACTTAAAATTAAGGTATCAAAAAGTCCCATCGCATGGCACTTTTTACATTTCCATCAAAATAAAGGGAGTCATTCAATATAGTTCAATTACTAAAGAGGACTAGAGAAGGAAAAGGAGATACCTCCCTTTAATCATCACAGTATCAGAGTATACAGAAGTGCTAATAACAATTTGTTAACTTCTAATGAATTTTTTTTATTTCTCTTCTCAGTTCTCATTAGGCAATGTGATGGTGCACCTAGAAGCCTTATAAAACACAAAACAGCAAATGATTGATTTACTCAAGAAGTCAGTGAAGGACAACTCTGTGGCTCAAGTTCAATATTAAAATTAGGAAAAATCACTAAACTAATTACATTAGCCCCTTGAAAGGCATATATAGAATCCCTTAGCCATAAGTGACATACAATGACATTTAAGATGATAAATAAGGCTCATATGTAATTAAATACTGTAAGGATCAATATTATAGGATCAGCAAGGTACACCAGAACGAGAGAGAGAGATTTAGATATTGCATGATCAAACTTAGCGCAATACCTCACGTTTTGGAATTTACTAGGTAGCAAGCACAAATAAGAAATAACACAACTTGGATGATCACTATCAGTAAAGGCATATACCTTTGGATTTCAATTTTACTGATCGCAATCCACTAGTTACCAAATCATCCGGAGAGGGGGCATCAAATTTGAATGGGGCTACAATCATCAAAGAGAACATCAGAGCAAGAAAAACACACAAAATGCACATGCACACACGTACACTCAATATAAGAGGATGTATACCCATGGTAGCAGTAAAAACAATCTAATGGTTTAGGTGCATTTTCTCCTCGGCCAAATTAAAAATATGATTGTCTACTAAATTATAACTGGCTTTAGAAACCTGTTCCAACCTATATTTAGTTTGCGATGATTTTGAGAACTAAAAGCACTATTAAGTTCTTGAAAAGTGGCACGGATATTTCCGAGTTTGGAGTAGTCATCTCTGGAAGAAATATCATTCTGCGCTTCAAAGATTATACACTTTTTGGCCATATGTTGTGGCAGTGATGCAAAAAGAGACTTGGCCATCACTGATGCTCCAGAATCTTTGCATATGCCACCCACTGCATGGAAATTATCTACTCCATGAATGATACGGAGAAAATACAAATATATCCTGGGGAAATAGAAAGTAGATGCATGCACCAAAAAGTAGAAAGACATAAAGTCTAACCTACTAGCTAATGATTTAAATTTTAAAATTTATATCAATATTAGACAGACAGAATATTTCAAGAATGGGCTCACTAGAAAGAATGTTTGAAAGGCATGAAAAGGAGAAAAAGAGGTATGTTTCTCTAATTATATGTAATAACACCGTGATGAGGTATACAGTACAAAAGGAGAGACGCATGCCATAAAAAATTATACCTGCAGGAGTAATGCTTTTAGTATCGACCTTCACCAAAGGATGGCGTAAAACCCCACATATTTCACATGCTGAAAGATTATCTTCATTATCGTAGGTACAAATTGGGCAGCGCCAGACCCCAGCATTGCTGGACTCTTGTTTCGCTTTTGTCATGGATGCTCTCTCTATCAAGGAAATCAATAAAGAGAGGGTAAAGTATGCATAAAATCCTAAATTGCATGAAGCACAAGAAATGACATTTTGAAACTCACAAACATCCTCATGGAGAAATGAATAAACCAACAAAACATTCGTCCAAAACAGTTACTTGAGAATATATCTCCCGAAATTTGAATATGTTTATCAGGAGTAGTGTTCACATGAAAATTACTTACTGAAACAAGTTTGTCACATACTTAGTGATCCTTGAACAAAATCAAAAGTACCACAGAAACATTATGTTCCCCACCAATCAGATTTGCATGATGAGAAAGTAAATTGATGGTACAATGACTCATGCCATTCAAAAGCTAGAAATAATTTCATACTGATAAATGCACGTGGGTAGAACTCATCCCCAAATGGTAGCTCCAAGATAGAGGGTTCCTAACCCACACTTATATTCAATAACAGCACATTAAATAATCAATGCGGATAAACATAACTTCTAACACCCGCCCTCATGCACAGCATGCCAATCCAAACGGGCCGGGTCCAAAACCCACATTGCCTTCAAACAAATAAACTTGGGTTCTCTCTTATCTCATAAAAGGGGGAAATATAAATTATGAATTTCAGTTACTGAACATTAAAAACCATTATTTCTGACTGTTTGGACTATGGTGTTCAAGGTCTACTCTCATTTGAGATATCTTTCTGTTCCATGAGTGTGGGGAACCATTTGTCATTCAGTAAGAACCGCATGCTCCATAACAAAATCCTCATAAAAATTATAGTGTTGAGACCAAATATACAAATTCGATTCCAATGGGAAACAAGTGAAGGCAAAACTTCCAAATCAATACTCCAATAATGCAGTTCTTTACTCCACAAAAAACTAAATTGTATTAGCACAAGAAAGCAGAAGCTCTTTCATTCCAAGACCTCATAAAAACTCTTTAAATTTCAGATTACTGAGTTGAGATTTAAGTTGAGTTGTGCAAAATCAAGCTAGAAATGTAGATCTTAAATTGTAAAAAATATCTTGAGTAGATTCATGTTATATTTCCATGCAGAGTTGATATCCTAATTGTATTGATTCAGGTATGCACGAATGAAATTTCTCGAGTACATATTAGAGTAATCAATGAAACGTTTTAGATTTTGAGTAGCAATCATCTCCTCTTTCTAACTCAATTTCTCAAATTTCACTTGATGATAAACCGCCAGTCACTTCCATACAAATTTGATTTCTCTTGATAAAATCAAACTCCAAGGCAGAAGACACAGTTGAAGTAAATCAGTAACTATCATCATTAGTGAAAGGGAAAACTCATATTCATGGTCCTTCACTATACCTAAAGCCCCATTACAGTATCAAAACACTATGCACGCAAATATTCCTTCCTATTACTAGTCCCAACATAGAGAGGGTGAGAACTTACCAGTTTCTTCCCGTTCATAATCATAATAATCATCATCTGCATAGTCATAGTCATAGTCAAAGTCTTCATGAATGCCATAGTCGTCGTCGTCATACCCAACTCCGTATTCCACTTTACGGGGCATGTTCCCACGCCCTTATCACTCAAAAACAGAATTCGAATCAAACATCAACATAAAAACAACATAGCAAAATCTGAGTGCAGCATTTTATCAAACAATTTACAGATCTCATGAAAACCAAAAATTTATTCTAGCATGGACATTGTATCAAACACAAATATGCACCATTTTGGGGTATAAAAACACGAGATGTTTTTGCCTTGTCTCTCAAAGCCACTACCCTCATAAACGACCAAGCAAATGACAGAATCTCGGAACTACCTTATACGAGGACTTGAGATTGCGAATTACGGAAACCAAAACTTCAGAACGGCGGTGGCGATTGGTGGTTGAATGCGCAGGTAAGGTAGTAACAATGTTCCTTTGCTGAATGAGAAGTGCTCAGAAGTTTGGGGAAGCTGTAGAAAACAAGCACCAAGTGCAATCGGGGAATAAATTTGAGGAAGAATGTGATACTGAGGCTGGGAAATCAGGCCCGCAAAAAAATTTGACAAAAAAAAACCGAGGAAAAACGATGGCTATTAACGGAGAACGGGAAATTGGTAGCCGAAACAGTATCCTAGAGCTAACTCCAGTTGTCTTTCCATTGCTCTACTTTATTGTCACCGTGCCATAAAAAATCTTACATGGCATGAAAAATGTTTAGAAGATTTTCTAAATACAGAAATGCTTCTAAACAACTTCTATTATATATTATATTATTTATTTAATTTATCACTCTTCTCCAACTAATTATAATTTTACATATTACAAATGACACCGCAATTAACACTAACTATTGGAGCATAAAAAATCTTACGTGGCAAGAAAAATGTTTAGAAGATTTTGTAGATGTAGAAGTCCTTCTAAACAACTTCTATTATATATTATATTATTTATTTAATTTATCTCTCTTCTCCAACCAATTATAATTTTACACATCACAAATGACACTGCAATTAACACTAACCATTGGAGCATAAAAAATTTTACGTGGCATGAAAAATGTTTAGAAGGTTTTCTAAATGTAGAAGTCCTTCTAAACAACTTCTATTATATATTATATTATTTATTTAATTTATCTCTCTTCTCCAACCAATTATAATTTTACACATCACAAATGACACCGCAATTAACACTAACCATTGAAGACAAAAAAATTTAATTTTCTTTCTCCATGTCATACAACACAATTTTCATTAAGAGCATCTCCAATACTATGAATTTGAAAGATCATTATTTTTAACGCATGTCAATTAGTGATTGTAATGTTAATCCACATTGGAATAATGTTAAAAGATTAGAAATTTGAATGAAACTAGCATCTCCAATGCATAAATTTGATAAGAAGTTATTTGTATAGGTGGACCAATTAAATAATTTATTGATCTAAAAAAAAATTAAAACAAATATAAAGTAAATTTATGAGTCATCATGTTTAACATGGTGTTAGATATTAGAAAGTGTGTTCAACATTGTCAACATTAAATGACATTCACCTCATCATGAAAGAGTTCATGACAAGATGCATTGGAGAAAAAAATAATAATACACTTTTAAAAGTTGATGATATGGATGATTTTTTATAATGTCAAAAGTCACTCTTAGAGTTGGGTTAGAAAACTTGGGGAAGAACAAAATAAAAGTTAATGTACATCTGTTGACGTGAATATAACACGTCAGGGAGTAGTGTGAAAAGTGGGAAGACAGGGGAAGTGGCATTTTTGTAATTCTATTATTATTATTTTTTATAAAAAAAGGAGAACTTATGTGGTAACGCCACAATGCGTTTTAGGAAAGGAAAAATGAAATTTGACCACTTTATTTTTTTATTTTTTTTTTCCTTCAAAAATTTGACTATTTTATTCAAAACTAGTGCATATTGGAGAAACTTATTATATTTTAAACTTTTTTTAGACATTATTTTAAATATAATTGCTCATATTTTTCACATCTCATCTCCTTATGAAAATAAAATAAATGCAAACAATAAAAAATATATATTATTAAAGACTTTCTCTTTACACAATAATTTTTATTTTAAGGAATATTATTAAACATTGCAGTATTGATTTTTTTTAAATCAATTATCCAATTTATATTTAAACCTTGCAGTTTTGATTTTTTTTAAAAAAAATCAATTATCCAATCAATGATTGTTAATATACACAAAATAATGGAAAGAATACAGACTTTAAATCGGATTTCCAAAATAAGTAAGTCAAAGGTTTTGACCAATTTTTTTATCAATTTTTTACAAATGATTTTTTCATCAACATCTTTCAATATATATAGATATTAAAATGTAAACATTTTGGCTTGTGATAATACTATTATCCTCTCAAGATTGACTTTCGATGCTCTTCTCCTCCGGTGAATCGACCTCCGCCAGCAGCACTACTGCTCGACATCGGCTTCTTAACTCGAGCAAATCGACCCTCAAGGTGTGGTTCCTCATTTGCGAATTTTTAGGATTTTATTAGGGTTTTTTTGTCCTTTTTTTTTTCTTCAATAATAGAAGCTTAATAATTCGGTATTTTTGGTTCCCCAAGCCTCGTTTTTTTATTTTTTATTTTTCCTATTCTCTATATGAGCAAAGAGCATATTTCTCGATTTCTCCTTCTTGTGTGCTCCCAACCATTTATTAAGGTAACTTTTTCTCGATGGCTCATGCACAACTTATCTTCCCTTTATCGTATAATTAGTAAATTAAACATGTAAAGTTTGATTTATACCTGAAAAATATTGAGTTTTTTTGTATAGACTGCTATTTTTATAAACTAAGAAATGGTAAAAGAAATGAATACTATAATTTGGTCCAAGTTATCATTGTTGATTAAATGAATTTGGTTGGCCTGATTTTATTTTGAATGGAGTTAAATGCTTACAAGGATGTATGAGACATTAATTGGTGATATTTATTGAATGAAACCAATTGTGGTTAAATGTATACAGCTAAGAACCAAATTAGCAAAATCTAGTAATAGAAAAAAGGGCAATGCTACATTGTCAACCTAATTGTACACTAGGTTGACAATACAAGTGGAAATATCAATTTGTGCATTTTTGTATTTTTATTTTTATTTTTTTAGATATTTTCACTTGTGTTGTCAACCTAGTTGTACACTAGGTTGGCAATATATCATTTTTCTAGAAAAAATATGAGTTACTCACTCTTTCTAGTAGTTATTAGTTGTCTAATTAGCAAAATCTAGTAATAGAAAAAATATGAGTTACTCACTCTTTCTAGTAGTTATTAGTTGTCTGATTGCAAGTAATTGTTGTGTTTCATGATTTTGCATATTATATTGTCACCTATTTCTAGCTCATCATGAGAGAATTGTTGAATGGATCATCCATTCTACTGGGGGTTAAGGAATCGTGGTGATATATTTTCTAGTATATTCATAATTGCATTTACAAAGTTGATTGTCATGCTAAATAGCAATTGTAAGTAACCTTACATGCTTATCTATAAATTGTTCCAAGTTCTATATATCACTCTTTTCAAGTTATAGTATATTCAATTGTAATATTTTGATACTAGAAATACCTTATATGAAAATTGTTTGTTAGTAGTTTCCTGGTAAAATAAAATTTTTGTAGCGCCTCATTTGTTCCAGATTATTTAGAAATTATTATTATTATTTATTTTATTTTTCGGATTTATTCGTGCTCGATTTTATATTTCGATTATATGCTCGTAATTGCTAATTGTATTAAATTAATATCGAGCCGAATTGTGTTATTGTTTTTCGAGCGAACCGAATAATTGTTTTAATCGGGACTTCAAACCGAGCGAGCGACCATACCGAACCATCGGTCCGAGCCACCGAACCGCACCCCGCGACCCGCTCGGAGCTCGAGCCCGCCAACTCGCCCCCAAGAACCATTTCTTTTCCCATCTCATCATCATGCATGCATGGTCTTTGAATTTGAAATTCAAATAAAAACCTATCCCTTATTTTGTGCCTTTGACCAACTAATGAGGGGAGGTTACAATTTTAGCCATTAAAGGGAGAAACCTCCTCATTCCCTCACCTACCTCACGCCTCATTCTCCTCTCTCTTTCAAATTTTCAGAACCTCCCTCACTCTCTTTTCTCTCACATTTGCTACCCGGAAAACTCACCAGCCCTCGCACGAAACGACGGAAGCCCGTCGCCCCGACCCTCGCTCCACCCGCACGCGCAGACGCCGAACGCTCCACCAGCGAGCCGCCACAGCTCCGATCTCCGCGTCTCAGCTGCAGACCCCGGTCATCGTGCCCGCACGTCCGACCACCACCCTCGACACCTCTGGTCATCCTCCTCATACGTGCGAGCCGCCTCCAACGTCGAGCACAAGCGGACGAGTTCCCCGCCCTTAGGAATCGAACATCAAAACGGCCTTCCCGTGATCGAGTCGTCGTTCGTTTTTCCCCTTTGGTGTTTGGTATTTTACTAAACTCCATGTATATTATGTGTTGTACATGTATCTTTGCTGATCATATAGTATTATATGAATTATTTTATTTAAAAAGTTAAGATATGATATTTTATGTATTGTAATGTCTTAGATCTATAGAGTTTAATTTGAAACTCTTATGATCTGAGACCACCTCGTGAAAATCTTCTGGAATATGGAACATTTTTATGTCATGATCACAATAGTCTTGACCTTGTGCAATTTGGGCTTATATTTTTCAAGTTATGGATTTTTGAAATTTATATGATTGCTGCAACTTGTAAAATGCGTGAGAAATTGTATTGTTTCCCAAAAATTATAAAATTTGGATATGTTTCTCCCCAGATGTTTCTGTACCTTATGTAAAATTTTCATGATTTTTGGAACTCATTTGCTAGGCTAAATGATTAATTGTTAAAATCTGATGAATCTTGTTAAATCCATGAAAAATCGAATCCTTCATAAAAATACATGAAACTCGGTCATTATGCTTAGCTGATATGTTATTTGATGGTGTGAAAATCCCAGAAATTATTGGATTCATTTTGTTTAGTTTCTGTTAAAAACTTGTATCTTGCTGAAACTTGCAATAATTATCATAATTCACATGATCAGTGTTTATGCCTGGAATTTTTATATATATTTCCAGCATGTTGCAGTTGCTTGCATAAAAATATTAAGTCTTAATTCATTCATTTGGTCAGTCATTAACTTCATGCTCGTTTTTGCTGAAAATTTGTTTCAATTTTATAAAATCTCATGTTCAAGTGATATGGTTGAAACTTGGTGATTTTGATATACTCAGTAATGCCTATTAGGTGTTCAAATTTCAAATCAAAATTCGTTCATTTACCTGGTCATCTAGAAAATGAGGGTTAATTGTCAATTTGCTCAATTTATTGGATGAAAATGTTAACTCTTGAATCTTGGCATTATTTTTAATATATGAGGTCCTCCTTACATGTTATATAAGTGGTGTAAATTTTAAGTTAAGTGGATGAGTATATTGTGAGTCGGCCATTACGTGTCACTTCCCATATTTGGTTCGAGTAGAGTCGACTGTTCCATAATTCCACGAGAATCTTCCACGAGCCACTTAGTCGACGGATTCGACTAAGTTTGTGTGATCATTGGATTAGTTGTAATCGAGATTTATCTTGAATTCGTGTAGGTGTTCCAAGG